GGGATGTCTTGTTTTTTAGAGAGATGTCTTGTTATTTAGAGGGTTTTTTTGTTTTTTAGAGGTTTGTCTTGTTATTTGGAGGGATGTTTTGTTATTTAGATTGATGTCTTAATATTTAGAGGGATGTCTTTTTATTTGGAGGGATGTCTTGTTATTTAGAGGGATGTCTTGTTATTTAGAGGAATGTCTTGTTATTTAAAAGGGATGTCTTGTTATTTAGAGGGATGTCTTGTTATTTAGAGGGATGTCTTGTTATTTAGAGGGATGTCTTGTTATTTAGAGGGATGTCTTGTTATTTAGAGGGATGTCTTGTTATTTGAAGGGATGTCTTAATATTTAGAGAGATGTCTTGTTATTTAGAGGGATGTCTTGTTATTTAGAGGGATGTCTTGTTATTTAGAGGGATGTCTTCATATTTGGAGGGATGTCTTCATATTTGGAGGGATGTCTTGCTTTTTTGAGGGATTTCTTGTTATTTGGAGGGATGTCTTGTTATTTAGAGGGATGTCTTGTTATTTAGAGGAATGTCTTGTTATTTAGTGGGATGTCTTGTTATTTAGAGGGATGTCTTGTTATTTAGAGAGATGTCTTGTTATTTAAAGGGATGTCTTAATATTTAGAGGGATGTCTTGTTATTTAGAGGAATGTCTTGTTATTTAGAGGGATGTCTTGTTTTTTAAAGGGTTGTCTTGTTATTTGGAGGGATGTCTTAATATTTAGAGGGATGTCTTGGTATTTAGAGGGATGTCTTGTTATTTAGAGGGATGTCTTAATATTTAGCGGAATGTCTTAAGGGATGTCTTGTTTTTTAGAGGGTTGTCTTGTAATTTAGATGGGATGTCTTGTTATTTAGAGGGATGTCTTGTTATTTACAGGTATGTCTTGTTATTTAGAGGGATGTCTTAATATTTAGAGGAATGTCTTGTTATATAGATGGATGTCTTGTTATTTAGAGGGATGTCTTGATATTTAGAGGGATGTCTTGTTTTTTAGAGAGATGTCTTAATATTTAGAGGGTTTTTTTGTTTTTTAGAGGGTTGTCTTGTTATTTGGAGGGATGTCTTGTTATTTAGATTGATGTCTTAATATTTAGAGGGATGTCTTTTTATTTGGAGGGATGTCTTGTTATTTAGAGGGATGTCTTGTTATTTAGAGGAATGTCTTGTTATTTAAAAGGGATGTCTTGTTATTTAGAGGGATGTCTTGTTATTTAGAGGGATGTCTTGTTATTTAGAGGGATGTCTTGTTATTTAGAGGGATGTCTTGTTATTTAGAGGGATGTCTTGTTATTTGAAGGGATGTCTTAATATTTAGAGAGATGTCTTGTTATTTAGAGGGATGTCTTGTTATTTAGAGGGATGTCTTGTTATTTAGAGGGATGTCTTGTTATTTGGAGGGATGCTTGTTATTAAGAGGGATGTCTTATAATTTAGAGGGATGTCTTGTTATTTGGAGGTATGTCTTGTTATTTAGAGGGATGTCTTGTTATTTAGAGGGATGTCTTGGTATTTGGAGGGATGTCTAGTTATTTAGAGGGATGTCTTTTTATTTAGAGGGATGTCTTGTTATTTAGAGGGATGTCTTGTTATTTAGAGGGATGTCTTGGTATTTGGAGGGATGTCTAGTTATTTAGAGGGATGTCTTTTTATTTAGAGGGATGTCTTGTTATTTAGAGGGATGTCTTGTTATTTAGAGGGATGTCTTGTTATTTGAAGGGATGTCTTAATATTTAGAGGGATGTCTTGCTTTTTTGAGGGATTTCTTGTTATTTGGAGGGATGTCTTGTTATTTAGAGGGATGTCTTGTTATTTAGAGGAATGTCTTGTTATTTAAAAGAGATGTCTTGTTATTTAGAGGGATGTCTTGTTTTTTAGTGAGATGTCTTGTTATTTAGAGGGATGTCTTGTTATTTAGAGAGATGTCTTGTTATTTAAAGGGATGTCTTAATATTTAGAGGGATGTCTTGTTATTTAGAGGGATGTCTTAATATTTAGAGGGATGTCTTGTTATTTGGAGGGATGTCTTAATATTTAGAGGGATGTCTTGTTATTTAGAGGGATGTCTTGTTATTTAGAGAGATGTCTTGTTATTTAAAGGGATGTCTTAATATTTAGAGGGATGTCTTGTTATTTAAAGGGATGTCTTAATATTTAGAGGGATGTCTTGTTATTTGAAGGGATGTCTTAATATTTAGAGGGATGTCTTGTTATTTAGAGGGATGTCTTGTTATTTAGAGGGATGTCTTGTTTTTTAAAGGGTTGTCTTGTTATTTGGAGGGATGTCTTAATATTTAGAGGGATGTCTTGGTATTTAGAGGGATGTCTTGTTATTTAGAGGGATGTCTTGTTATTTAGAGGGATGTCTTCTTATTTGGAGGGAAGTCTTGTTATTTAGAGAAATGTCTTGTTATTTAGAGGGATATCTTGTTATTTGGAGGGATGTCTTGTTATTTAGAGGGATGTCTTGCTATTTAGAGGGATGTCTTTTTATTTGGAGGGATGTCTTGTTATTTAGAGGGATGTCTTGTTATTTAGAGGAATGTCTTGTTATTTAAAAGGGATGTCTTGTTATTTAGAGGGACGTCTTGTTATTTAGTGGGATGTCTTGTTATTTAGAGGGATGTCTTGTTATTTAGAGAGATGTCTTGTTATTTAAAGGGATGTCTTAATATTTAGAGGGATGTCTTGTTATTTAGAGGGATGTCTTAATATTTAGAGGGATGTCTTGTTATTTGGAGGGATGTCTTAATATTTAGAGGGATGTCTTGTTATTTAGAGGGATGTCTTGTTATTTAGAGGGATGTCTTGTTTTTTAGAGGGTTGTCTTGTAATTTAGATGGGATGTCTTGTTATTTAGAGGGATGTCTTGTTTTTTAAAGGGTTTTCTTGTTATTTGGAGGGATGTCTTAATATTTAGAGGGATGTCTTGGTATTTGGAGGGATGTCTTGTTATTCAGAGGGATGTCTTAATATTTAGCGGAATGTCTAGTTTATTAGAGGGATGTCTTGTTATTTAGAGGGATGTCTTGTTATTTAGAGGGATGTCTTAATATTTGGAGGGATGTCTTGTTATTTAGAGGGATGTCTTAATATTTAGAGGGATGTCTTGTTTTTTAGTGGGATGTCTTGTTATTTAGAGGGATGTCTTGTTATTTAGAGGGTTTTTTTGTTTTTTAGAGGGTTGTCTTGTTATTTGGAGGGATGTCTTGTTATTTAGATTGATGTCTTAATATTTAGAGGGATGTCTTGTTTTTTAGAGGGATGTCTTGTTATTTAGAGGGATGTCTTGTTATTTAGAGGGATGTCTTGTTATTTAGAGGGATGTCTTGTTATTTAGAGGGATGTCTTGTTATTTGAAGGGATGTCTTAATATTTAGAGAGATGTCTTGTTATTTAGAGGGATGTCTTGTTATTTAGAGGGATGTCTTAATATTTGGAGGGATGTCTTCATATTTGGAGGGATGTCTTGTTATTTAGAGGGATGTCTTGTTATTTGGAGGGATGCTTGTTATTAAGAGGGATGTCTTATAATTTAGAGGGATGTCTTGTTATTTGGAGGTATGTCTTGTTATTTAGAGGGATGTCTTGTTATTTAGAGGGATGTCTTGGTATTTGGAGGGATGTCTAGTTATTTAGAGGGATGTCTTGGTATTTGGAGGGATGTCTAGTTATTTAGAGGGATGTCTTTTTATTTAGAGGGATGTCTTGTTATTTAGAGGGATGTCTTGTTATTTAGAGGAATGTCTTGTTATTTAAAAGGGATGTCTTGTTATTTAGAGGGATGTCTTGTTATTTAGTGGGATGTCTTGTTATTTAGAGGGATGTCTTGTTATTTAGAGAGATGTCTTGTTATTTAAAGGGATGTCTTAATATTTAGAGGGATGTCTTGTTATTTAGAGGGATGTCTTAATATTTAGAGTCATGTCTTGTTATTTGAAGGGATGTCTTAATATTTAGAGGGATGTCTTGTTATTTAGAGGGATGTCTTGTTATTTAGAGGGATGTCTTGTTATTTAGAGGGATGTCTTGTTTTTTTAAAGGGTTGTCTTGTTATTTGGAGGGATGTCTTAATATTTAGAGGGATGTCTTGGTATTTAGAGGGATGTCTTGTTATTTAGAGGGATGTCTTAATATTTAGCGGAATGTCTTAAGGGATGTCTTGTTTTTTACAGGGTTGTCTTGTAATTTAGATGGGATGTCTTGTTATTTAGAGGGATGTCTTGTTATTTACAGGTATGTCTTGTTATTTAGAGGGATGTCTTAATATTTAGAGGAATGTCTTGTTATATAGATGGATGTCTTGTTATTTAGAGGGATGTCTTGATATTTAGAGGGATGTCTTGTTTTTTAGAGAGATGTCTTGTTATTTAGAGGGTTTTTTTGTTTTTTAGAGGGTTGTCTTGTTATTTGGAGGGATGTCTTGTTATTTAGATTGATGTCTTAATATTTAGAGGGATGTCTTTTTATTTGGAGGGATGTCTTGTTATTTAGAGGGATGTCTTGTTATTTAGAGGAATGTCTTGTTATTTAAAAGGGATGTCTTGTTATTTAGAGGGATGTCTTGTTATTTAGAGGGATGTCTTGTTATTTAGAGGGATGTCTTGTTATTTAGAGGGATGTCTTGTTATTTAGAGGGATGTCTTGTTATTTGAAGGGATGTCTTAATATTTAGAGAGATGTCTTGTTATTTAGAGGGATGTCTTGTTATTTAGAGGGATGTCTTGTTATTTAGAGGGATGTCTTGTTATTTGGAGGGATGCTTGTTATTAAGAGGGATGTCTTATAATTATTAAGTCTTTCGTTGTTTTAATTTAAACATTTTCCGCCTACACGATGTCTTCCTGTTTAATGTGCAGTGTTCCCGTGAACCCTAGTGCAAGTGATATCGTCAAGTGTTCTAAGTGCAGTGAACATTTACATTACTTATGTGCTGGAATCAATCCATCGAAGAAAGCTACAAGACAAAGCAGTTTTCGTTGTGCAAAATGTTTGGGGACACCGATGTCTGCAAATAGCAGTGATTCAGAAGAGTTTAGTGGTAACCAACAGGTGCTCAAGGCAATTTCTGGGCTGAAAACAGATCTTCAACAAATACTAGACACGAAGCTAGAGGGTTTGGAAGACAAAATATCAAGTAAGTTGGAGGTTAGCTTAGCTTCTATACGCACAGATATTAACAGCGTTAAGTTAACATTTCAAGAGTCTGTTGATACCTTAAAAAATGATAATGATGTTTTGAAAGAAAAGTGTAAACAGCTAGAAGACAGTTTAGAAAAATCCACGTCTGATCTTCAAGACTTAAAAAGTCAAATGAGAGATATGCAGCAATACAGCAGACTAAGCAACATAGAGATTGTTGGCGTTCCCCTAACAAAAAATGAAAATATTTATGCTATATTAGAAAAGGTCGCAAATAGCATAGATGTACCATGGCTACGCACCGATATCTCGGTGGCTCATCGCCTCCCCAGCAGCCGGAAGGACCGTCATCCCAACATCGTTGTGCGCTTTATAAGTAGATCTACACGAGCCGCATGGTTAACTGCCGCACGAGAGAAGAGGGGACTGGATGCTGTACATCTTAGCTCAGTCTTCACACCTTCGCAGATATTCATCAACGAACACCTCACGGCACACACCAGGGCGGTGCTCAACGAGGCTAAGAAGATGGTCAGTAAACAACAACTCGCCTTCGCCTGGGTGAGAGAAGGACGAGTGCTGGTCAGGGTGACGGAGAAGGGCCGGCCGCGACGTGTTGGTGACATCGGTGACCTGCAGCTGTTGGTGAGAGGTCCACGGTCCAGCCCCAACAACGGTGAGTCACATACATCGGTGACTACCGAATGAATTTAAGCACGGACATTCTACTAGAAAACCCAGCTTAGGCGGTAATTGTATTAATATTTTTATTATAGTTTTGTTTTAGAGTTTATCTTAAATAATTTAAATTTTAATTGTATAGGATCCACTCTCACAACATTAAATATTCTTGCATAGTAAATATTCTTCAAAATAAAATCTTTCTTTTTTTCAAAAACCACATCAAAACATTCTATGGTCCATTCACTTACGATTAATTAATAGATTCCAAACAATTTAATTTTGCATAACCAGTATTTCTAGAGTATAGTGTATGATTTTTGTTAAAATTAATCGAGGCAATCAAAATTAATATTAATAACAAGGCGATGCTTTGTACACACTTCATTTATCATCTTTGATATTGGTTATTTTTTACAAAGTGATGTTAAGATCAATTTATTATTTGCTATTTTTAATGTTTTAAAACCGTCAAATTTAGTCTAAATATACTCTATTATCTTAAAAGATATTTTTGTGATTTAAATTATTAGGGTTTGTCTAAGTTCAATTGATTATTTAAAAAAATTGTGGTTTCAATAACATTTTATTTGTCATCCTACTGTTTTGAGGGTCAAATTTAGTTCAACATTACGTTCTATTGTTCTAAAGGGTCTTTAATTTTAATTTTAATTTTATTTTATAGTTTAATATCACTGTATTGGTTATCTGAGCTCAGTTGAGTATTAATATATAGATGATGATTCCATAAAACTGTTCATTTGCCATCGTAATAGTTTTGCTCAAGTCTCAAGCTAAGTCTTAGATTTCGTTCTAATAAAGATATATTAACTTATTATTGTTATTTTTTATATTATTATTTCAATTGTGTTGATTTGAGTTTAGCTGAGTATTGTTGTGATGACATAGTTCATTAGGCATCTTGATTTTTAACTTTAACAGTGAATTTAATCTAAAATTTCGTTCTCAATCAAAGATATTATTTCTGAATATAAAACTATTAGGGTCATATATAAGATCAAATCATTATTTTATTAGACATAAAAAGGTTACGTTGGAGCCATAAAATTATATACAGTTTGTAACCATTTCTGCTTACTTATTATAAGTTGAATAGTATTTGTTCTTTGCTAGGGTAGACTGGTTGTAAACTGCCCCGTGTATGATTGATGCAGTGTATTAAATAGTACATATCTTCGACATCTAATTTAAGAACAAAGCAGGCCAGGGAGCTTTTTATTTTTTCTCTATATCTTTTCTTTTCTTTTTTTTTGTACATTGGTTTACTCTATTCTTAGTTTCTTAACCGTTAATTGGTAATTGGTTTTTATGCATAACAGCTCTGACTACATTGAAACCTTTCGAGAAATTAACTGCAACACAGTTAACGGCAACCAAGTTTGTTCATTTTTTTCGGATGGAATAAATCTTTTCAGGTGTATTTATCTTAATATAAGAAGTTTAAATAAAAATTTTGACAGTTTTCTTATTTTCTTGGAGAGTTTAAAAATCAAATGGGATATAATTATATTGGGTGAAACTTGGCTGGATCCTGAGCAAACATGGGTAAATCTTGAGGGGTATAAAATGTTCAGAACGAACGCTAGGGTAAATAGAAACGACGGTGTGTTAGTGTATGTAAGGGAGTGTGTGAGTGTGAGTGATTGTAGGGAGCTGGAGCTGGGCGGCGTGGTTGGTCTGAGTTTCGACTTTACTTATCAAGGTACACAATCTGACCTGCTCACCGTTTACCGCACACATGACACTGACCTAGACAACTTCACTCAGTCACTGGGACACTACTACAGACACATGACTAGAGATAAAACATACATCCTCATGGGTGACATTAACGCAAACCTACTCATAACAAATAATAAAACTGAGCGATATTTAGATTTAATGTTTGAGTGTGGTTTCGTTAGTGCCATAAATGAACCAACAAGAGTTTCTGGAGACAGCAAAACATGCATTGATCACATTTTTGTGAAACACATTAACTCAGACACAATCAAAGCTGCAGTGATTGAGACCGATATCACAGACCACTACTGCGTGGCACTCGAGATACCGCACAAACGTACTTCCACTGCTGCTGCAGACAACACTTCTACTTACATTGACAAGGCACACATGGGGACACTGGTTGACAACTGTGACTGGACAGAAGTAACCGACAATTGGGAAGTAAATAATAGCTGTGATAAATTCCTAAACATCTTAGATGAAATTAGTAAATGTTCTATTAAAACCTGTCAAAAGAAAAGTAATAAATTAAAGAAAATAAAGCCTTGGATTACTGCAGGATTAATTAAGTCAATTAAAACCCGAGATAAAATGAGTAGGAGATTAAAAAATGAGCCATTCAATGTAGACTTGAAAAGATACTATGTGAAGTATAGGAATAGACTCAATGTTATAATACGCTGTGCGAAGAATATGTATTATAGATCCAAAATGAATAACGCAAGTAACCCTAAACATTTTTGGAACACTATTAGTGAGCTGTCGGGAAGATTATCAAAAAAAGATATTTTCCCTCTTGATCGGGTTACTTCAAACAGAGACATAGGAGACGGAGACCCACGACGACAGGTGGCCGATGAGTTCAATACTTACTTCTCTCAGGTTGGATACAATTTAGCTTCAAAAATTGACTCGGGTGGCCCACCTGTCGTGAATGACAACGACTACACAGTCGACGATAACTTGTCACTTCACACAATCACGGAAGACCAATTACATCACTACGTCTCAGACCTGCGTGGCGGCTCAGCTCCTGGCCACGATGGCATATCGGCTGACTTTCTGAAGCAACACTACCAATCGTTGTGGCGGCCATTGCTACATATCATAAACCTGAGCATAGTGTCTGGGGTGGTCCCCGACGCCTTCAAAGTCGCCAAAGTTGTTCCACTCTACAAAACAAACGACATAACCAATACATCCAATTACCGTCCAATTAGTCTGTTGAGTGTATTTTCTAAAGTTTTAGAAAAGGTTGTAAAATATCAATTGGTAGCGCACCTGGAAAATCATGAAATAATAACAGAGCATCAATTTGGGTTTAGAAAGTCTAAAAATATATCAGACGCGCTTTTCAAAATAACTAAAGATATAAATAATTCACTTAGCAATAATAAACGATGCCAAATTACTTTTCTTGATCTGGCCAAAGCTTTTGATACGGTAGACAGAAGGAAATTACTTGAAAAGCTAAATTTAGTTGGGGTTAAGGGCAGGGCATACGATTGGTTCAAGAGCTATTTGGAAAATCGCAGACAAATAACAACAATTAATGGGGTCAATAGTGGTGAAAAAATCATAGATTTTGGAGTCATCCAAGGAAGCACATTGGGTCCTCTATTATTCTTAATTTATGTAAACAATATAGCAAAAATTAATATAACTGGTAAATTATATCTTTTTGCAGACGATACAGCGATTCTTCATGAAGGTGACAGTTGGGATTCAGTTTTTGATGGGGCAAAAAGAGATTTATTCAAAATAAATACTTGGTTTGATCAAAATTTACTCACACTTAATATATCAAAAACTAAATTCATGCCAATCGCTTTAAGGGATACAACAGATACAATTTCGACTAGCCTTAAGATTCATGTTTGTGGAGACTTAAATTCAATATCTTGTGGGTGTGACTCAATTGAAAGGGTAAATTCATACAAATATCTAGGGGTTATGATAGACAATAGAATGTCATGGGCGGTGCATGTCAAATTTATCAATAGTAAACTGAGGAAATTAATATTTGCTTTTCACCAGCTTAGTAATATCTTAACTCCTAAAGAAATTAAAGTAATATATTGCGCATATGCACAGTCTATAATAGAGGGAGGGATATTAGCTTGGGGTGGGGCTCACAAAACAACATTAAATCCACTTTTCATCACACAAAGAGCAATTTTGAAGGCGGCTTTGGGTAGGTGTCGGCGGTACCCAACGGACGCTTTATACGACGAAGTAAAAGTGTTGGATATTAGGCAGATTTTTATTAGAGCCGTGATATGTAATATTTATAAAAACAATGATAATATCTTCAAAACAATCGAACATCCATACAGGACAAGGAACACATTAAATTTAGGCATCCAAATTCCTAAATTGTCTAAAACGTTTTCAGTCACAAATTCTTTTTACATTTCTCACATTTTATATAGAAATTTACCTGATTCACTAAAAAACAGGAGGATTTCTTTTCCAGTTTATAAACGTCGAATTAATGAATGGCTACATTCGATTGGTAGGGACAACACAGAAAACCTAATTTCCTCTATATACAGACGATAGGTCATCGAGTGTGGGTGTTAGTATGCATGTGTCACTAGCTGTCAGCTTGACTCCGTGCTCCGGGGGCCATGGGCCACTCAGGGACAGAGCATCGACGGCCCTGTGTGCAGCAGGGCTACCAGCCGCCTGTTGGTCTTGGTCCGAGCACAACTGTGGAAGAAAGAGGGCAGTTGGTGAGTGCGTGTGTGAGTGCCTGAGAGAGAGAGAGAGAGAGAGGGGGGGGGGAGAGAGAGAGAGAGAGAGAGGGAGCTTGAGTTTGTGCGGTGTATGGTTGTGTGGGAGAAGGTAAAGTCCAAAGTCTCATTTTGTCTGTCCAAGTTCACCAATTATCCAAATAAGAAAGCTGTCTTACCAGTATTTTTAAATTATATTTTTTTTATTGTAGTTATTCTCGAATTGGCTTTTTCTTTCAACTAAATTATTACCAATTAACTGTCATGTCATGTTTCATAAATATCTTCTTTTTTTTCAATTTCTAATATTTATTTCCTGATAGCGGAAATCTCTCACGCACGGGCAGTAGCCTATGTGAGAGGCATTTCATATTTAATTACTAAGTCAGTATATTATTATAACCATTGCATAACTATAAAATTGATACTGACAAAGTATTGTAACAATGTATTACTTACTGAAATAAAAATGATTTTGATTTGATTTGATTTGATTTATAATTTAGAGGGATGTCTTGTTATTTGGAGGTATGTCTTGTTATTTAG